AAAATGGCACAAAGCGAAAACATACAGGGAAGAAAATGAAATTACACACGTCATTTATTCACTACATTCTGAAAAAAATATCGAACCAATAACTGATCAGACGCCAGTTGACTCTGTTGCGGAATCTATGCTGAGTAAGAAGATGTATCAGAAGGTGATTTTTTTTGTGAAGGCCAAGAACGTGCGGTGATCGTAATGCATTTATCCACAACAAATAAATCAAACAAAAATAAATAGACAATTCAACTTCAAGAAATTACTGCAAACAACGTCATTAGAAAATTCAACAATAACGTGAATTTATATATATATATATATATATATTTGACATACACAAAGTGATAATAAGCTGCTTGTTAAATGTGGTAAGTGAGATAAGGTACAAAGATTGTCCATGCAGAAATTTAGTGAGTAATGTTTGATAGTTTAAGTTTGTTTGTGGAATTAAGATTGTCAGTTGTGTAAGTTCAAGTGATAGTGTGTATGTGTGTGACAACTGCTAGTGTTGATTTAAGTTATGAAGAGTTGTTCATCTTTAACTGATAGGCTAATCTTGCCTGAATGTACAATTACTGTTTTGTGGTGATAATGTCACTTTTTAGTAAATTGTAAGTTAAGTTTCTTCACGCGGCAATAGTTGTACTAGTTGTGTTGAGTTGAGAGGTTGATAATGGTTATTGAGTCAGTGTGTTGGCACGTGTGTGGTCTGCTGATATCTCTCGAAACTCAGTGTCTGACTAACTTGAATTAAGTCGAGCGAATCTTTTTATAGATTTTTGAGTTTCCAAATAGGCTCCAGAGACCTGCGCGGGAAAAAAAGTTTGTCTCAACTTTGCTACATTTTAGTGTCCTTTTAACCAATGGGGTATTGAGTTTGAAAAAGTAAAGTGATGATTGGTTAAAGGTTTATTTGGGGAAGAGTGCATCTTCCCGTAGGGGATGATAGGCAAATGTGGAGCATTCCATAACTCCTGGTTCAGTTGTCAAGGAAGAGACTGTTAGCGTTGTGAGTGCAGTGACAGCAAGGGACTTGATGAACCACCAAGAAAGAAAACAAAGAAAATATATGTTGATCTGCAGCAAAGACTAATAATTTATGCAGTGACTACACAGAAGGAAGGCAAGATTTGGATCCAGGTACTAAGTGGACTTGGTCACAACATAATATTTTAGTTTAAATTTTTTGCTTTTAAATGTAGATATAATTTTCTTTTTAACTTACTAAATAGATAACGTGTGCATTTCATGTTTTCCTGTATATTTTTGCTTTGTGCCGTTTTTACCCGTGTCATTTTTACCTGTGCCATTTTTACCTGTGCCATTTTTACCTGTACCATTTCTACCTGTGCCATTATTACCTAAATCCGGTAGGATACATACTAAAGCATAAACTGATTGGTAAAACACACGCTAAAAAGCAGCACCTCAAATTTTAATGCCAAATTGAGATTTTCTTCACAGAAAGTCGGGCACTCTTATGGGATATTAGGACTCCCTAATTATGAAATATCGAATATATGTAACTGTAGAAGTGTTAGAAAACACTTTTTACGGCCTAAATCTATCTTCGCATACGACCTCCATCGTTTGTTTATGTTTTCGTGCAAACTTAAAAAACAACAACACACTTCTTAAGCCTTGCAAATGTGTAATGTATATGGGTAAAGTTTGCAGATATACAAGAAAAAATTATTAAATTCTAAATGTTTTAAAATTCTGTATTATTTTTAGCCTTTTAGATTAAGTGAAAACTATATTTATTAATCATACATGGTAAAGCTTAATACCAGTCTTCAAGATTTTTTTTAAAGAATTTAAAATTTTTTTTTATGTATATAAACGTGCCCATTTTTAAAGTATGGGTGACCATACACGACATTATAAGAAAATAATAGCGATGACTGTAGTAAATTTAAAGTTGTAAGGATACAGAAGACGCTCCATTTAGTGGAGATGTCACATGGGTTACATGACGACCGCTTAATGGCATCATTCCATACAACGACAAAAGCGCCGGTCATTTTCAGTTCGTTTACAGCAACCAAACGGTAAGGTTGCTTTCTCGAGATCGCCTCTCACCTCTGATTCGGACTGAGGCTAAATCTGCCTCTCCCATCAGCGTGCATAAGGCCGCTTTCTTTTGGGAATGTATCTTTCACAGATATGGGATGAAACTCCAGCTCGCAGTCTTCAATTTGGGAAAAACCAAAATTCGCTATTTCCCTTTCGTGAAATATGTCTTCGCCTGTGACATAGGTGAATCCGGTCCGTTTAAAACTCGAGTCCTAAAAATGGCTTCTCCAGGTACAGGAGAATCTCCATATTATATATAAGACCCTGCCTTTTTGTTTCTCCTTACACTCTGCTTTGTCATATATACTCAAGTATATGATTGGTGTATACGGAATAAATTCCAATAACCAACAATTACTATTCTTAAAAGAGTGCTCAATACAGAGTAGAGCAGATATAATTATTTATTTAAAAATTATAACATAAATGTTATAGAATCACTACAAAAATAGCCATCATTCACACACTTTGGATTAAAATGTATACATTTTTTTCGGGTAGACGAGTCGACATTAGCGTCTATTCTAACGTAATTTCAATGAAAAAATAAATTGAATAACATCTATTTTTTCTCCTCAGTAATTTTAAACTTAATATATATATATATGACATTATTCTCCGCGTAGAACACGTGTATATATAGTTTTGTGTATGTCTTAGTATTATAAAAGTATGTTTGTCATTCTTTTTCCTTTCAGTCATTCTGTTCTGTCCGTGAAATATCGCAGTTATTATATCATGTTGAGTCAAACCAGTTTATTCACAGCACATTTCAAGCAATTGTATCCTTGGTGTTATTCATTCTTCACATGCAAACTTTGCTCTAACAATTATTATCTAACAATAATTTCGGAACAATTACCTCACAAGAGAACTTTCTTCAAACAGTTGATTACAATCAATCTACAGTCAAAGGGAAACAACTTCCTTCTCTTTAATCTGCATTGTGAATACGATTTTATTTCATGCTTCTTGTATTTTATTCAATATATATTTGTTGGTTAACAAATTGGAGTTGTTGTTATTATTTCTTGAATCCTGTACGTGGAAGAATCATTAATATGAATAGTAGTAGTACCTATATATTTGGTGTTCCTGCTATATTTAGTGAATTGACCCGACGCTATATTTGGTACATACGCTACAGTTACCTTGTGAGAATTGAACTTTGTATACTGCAAGAATACCTCGTAAAGTATTACCCCAATACAGGCGGTACCCCGAAGACAAATTTACACAGATTAGTCTAGCCTTACACAAGGTTACAGTCATGAGCTCGTGAGCCCCGATACATACATGATCTATGAGAATTACTGTTTCAGGGCGAGGTGACATTTTCAACTTACCTTAATTTCCAGAAATTGGTTTATAAGCAGCAATTCAGTAATTCGTTGATCAATGCTACCCATATACAGAAGGATGGTCCCTTCGTTCACTTCAGTGTCTGCGGCAAGGGCAGACTCAAATGGTTGAGAGTCACATTGAAGAACTTTCAGGAGGGAGATGATGCCTACTTTGAATTCTTCCAGAACTTTCTGTGTTTCCACTATGGCCATTTTTCCCTTTTCAGCATCGATGGCAGTGCTGATAGTCTCGTCATGTTGAAATAAATATAATAAAAATCAATAAATATGGGACAATATGCATAATCGGTCACGATTTCTATTCAACTCTTTACTCGTGTATTTTGCATGTGTATATACCGTATTTGTTGGAATATAAGACGCACGGGTGTATAAGACGCACCCCAATTTCAGCAGGGCAAATCAAGAAAAAATTAGTAATTAGTAAAATTATAGGCTATAGTTATGAGGTATTATTTTGGTTAAACAAGCCATGATTATAATTAAACGAAAAATAAGAATACGAGCTTATAAAAAATTTATTATATCCAAAGGTAAAAAAAAATAAAAATCAAGCAATTATTACAATTGAGCAAAACAGTAGTTACCATTAAAATTTTATTCATCTTCAAATCCTTAAAATTCGTAGTCCTCGTTAGCAAAACTCTGATACTCACTTTCAATACTACTATCATCATCGTTAAATAATGTGTCATCTTCTGTTCCATTGAGAGCATTGCTAATGCCACACTTTTTAAAAGATTTATATATATATATATATTAATTAATAATAATAATAAATATATATATATATATATATATATATATATATATATATATATATATATATATATATTATACATCCACCACAGACACTAGTAAAAATTAAAACTTATATACTACCACCATGACACAGCGTTACTGACTCCACATATAAAAATGGTAATCTTCGGATGACTACAGCAATTTTTGTCCTTCACAACCATGAACACTAAATACTTCCTCTATATTTAACAATACCCTGATGATGACATTATACTATGTTGAAAGTATTTGGAATAAATACAATATGAGCCAACACGGTTTTTTCCTTTCGTCTTTTAACAACTGCACAAAAAAGCTTATTACCGAATAGGAAAGAATCTTATGGAAAATAAGTAGACAGGACATGTCTAAATTTTTTAACGAAACCTGTGTTAATATATATATATATATATATATATATATATATATATATATATATATATGAGTGCGTGCATTTAGTGGATGTAATGGATAGAGGTTCGGAATGAGAAATCGGATTTGCAACATGCTCTTATACTCAAATAGCCCTGAGAAAGGTATGAATTCATATCTTCTTCCCCCAGTTACGGATTAAATAGTAGAACCTGTATCTGGAAAAATTATTGTTATCTCAAAAACATTTTCAATGCAATATTCATTCGCAAAAAAGTAATAATTATCTTTACAATCTTAAATATGTTTCGGGTTTAGATAACGCATAGAGGGTTGACAAAGCGTAAAAATCAAATAAAATCAGATTCGGCCTGGTATCCTCATGTTTGTTGTTTTGATGTCTACGCT